ATATATATATATATATATATATATATGTATATGAAGTAATTTAAATAATTAATTAATAATTAAATAATTAATTTTGGGTTGCGACAGTTAACGTTAACCACATAATAATTATCACATTGTAATATCTTATATATTAATATCCTATTACATTCTTTAAACGCAGTCCTTTATCAATTTAATTCACAAATCAAAAGTACAATCCTCATGGAAATTTCTTTCTGAGAGTGCCATTGGTATATTTCTAGTCCTATATGAATTCATATGTTTTAATTTACCTATTTATCAATATTAATCGATAACCAAACTTCTGCTATTCTGAAAATGCTATACAACGCATCTGATTTTCTGCATCATTCTTTTTCATATATTTATACCATAAATTCCAATTTTTATGAAAATCCAATAGCGAGTTGTTCCGTACTAGATGTGTTAATATCTACATTTCTTAGATGTCACATATCTTCAATCTCCATTCCTCTATTGAAGGAATTTCTTTTTTCCTCCAATATTTAGCATAAGTTATTCTTGTCGTGATTATTAAAAGAAAGAATAGTTTTCCGCATTCTCTTTCAATATCATCATTAGCAATATTTAAAAGATATAGCTTTGGGTCAAGACAAATTTTTAAATTTAAAATTTCCCTTATCTCACTGTTAATCATTTTCCAAATTTTTTTTGTTAAACTGCAATTCCACCACATATGCAAGTAAGACCCCAGGTCACCTTCGCATTTCTAACATGTTGGATTACATCCCTTGTACATTTTAGACAGTCTAAATGGCATCAGATACCAACATATTATAGTTTTATATACGTTTTCTCTTAAGTCCACATTAACCATATATTTTATTCTTTTTTTCCAAGTTTTTTCCCATTCGTCCAATTTAATCACTTGATTTAAATCTTGAGCCCATTTAATCATGTAATCTTTAATTGTATTTTCTTTAAGTTCCCAGTCCCTTATTAAATTATGATATTTCGAAACCCTCTTTTTAGAGTCTCCGCCCAGAATTTCTTCCAAATTTTTATATGCAGATCCAATTTGTTCCAACCGGCAATCCATTTTGAATTGTTGAAGTAACTGTCTATGCATAAACCCATTTCCATTATATCCTTCTTGTATCAATTCTTCTTGTGTTTTAAATATCATTTTATCTCCTTCAACTCTAATCAAATCTTTATATCTTATCCAAGACCCCTCTTTATAGTTCACACATTTCTAACAGCACTGAAGCCATGTTATGGTACCACAAGGTTCAGCTTTATATTTCATGTAAAGCTGATAGCCCAAAATATATTCTATTTTAAAAAATTCCACATCATATTTTTGCTTCATATTTCTTCCATTTACTTACAAGTCCCTATGCCTATTCTGCCCTTCTGTTCATACTGTGTTTATATTTAGAAGCATTCTGACAGGAGCAGTTAGGACATGACCGGTTTGTTACTGCTTTCAAAATGACATATTCAAGATTGTATTAGGGTTCTTTCTTCCTGTGCAGACCTAGAAAAC